GCCGCAATTCGTACCTTTCATAAACCCGGGCCGCAACTCGTACGTTATTTAGGGTTTGGGCCGCAACTCACCAACACTGAATATTTTATTTTTCATTAATCATATTTTCTTATATTTAGATAATTGCTAAAACTTTGGAGAAAGACAAGTTGGAAGATTTTGGAAACATGATTTGGAAACCACCTGCGGATCAAACTGGAGATGGACGAACTAGCTTAAATGAAAAATATGGTTATTGATAAAACTATTATATTTTAAGTGTACAAAGATGAATTGCATATATAAAATTGTTTATGAATAAATACAAATTTTAAATTATTTCTTATACATTATTATAGTAATTATTTATTATATAATTAATTATATTGAGATAGTTTTCACATTATAAATTATAATATTGAAGTAATAATAACAAGKGTAAAATTKAATTACGGAGTCAGAAGTGTAGATATACACAAAGTTCCGTCATCTGAACCAGTCACACAAGTCCCACATTGATTCAGGGATGACCAATCACAAACAACTGGAATACTTTGATGCTCTTTCAGAGATAAGACAACATTTAATCCAGTACTTGTTATCTATTAAATGAATGACAATAATTAGTAAAATTGACTTTTCTGCAATATTTCATACTTAAACATATCATACATTTATACAACTGAAAAGACCAAAAAWTTTTTAAGATTATGTGACGATAATGAAATATGATTTGGTGTTCTTACTATTTAAGATATATCAATACATTAAGTCAAACATAATTATATACGTATACAACAAAATATATTATTACTTTATATATATTTCCTCCATTATTTTGACTATGGCATAATAGCATATAACCACCAGACTGATCTAATGTAAATGCCTGACTCATGAATGCATTTGGTTTGAGTGGATTATCTTTCTTAATATTCACTTCCCATACGCACGACTGCTTATTACCATTCATACTAGTGCGGCAAATCTAAAAGATAAAACACAATTCATTGTAAAAACTAAATAAYGTTCATTTTACAAATATAAAATACTTTGTTATCGGCTCCTAATGTGTAGCAATCATTGTGATCAGGAGATAATTGTAGACGCATCAAACGATCAGTATGTGGTGTCCAACRATCAACAATTTCGCTATGTCTGAGATCAACTGTACGTACTGATCCATCAGCACATCCCGCATACAATAATTGACCATTATGATTATAGGCACAACATGTAACAGCTACATCGTCATTTCCCAGTATCAGTTGTCTCTATAGAAATAATCATTAGACCATACTTTTTAGCTATTGATAAGATATTCAATAAAAATACTAATAAACAAGCCATACTTCAATTTTTTTCGTTTTGACATCATATAAAAGTAATTTATTGTTGTCTTTAGAAATAAGCGAACAAACAAATGTAGAATCAGAAGGACCACATTTAACACATTGTATTTTAAGATTTGTTGATTGTTTAAATGGATTTAGTTCCCAGGAGCTTTTCATTTCTTTAGCATCGTATAAAATTATTGAACAGTCATCACATCCTAGCAATGCATAACGATCATTAGTTTTGAACCAATCCAAGCTGTATACGACTTTTTTCAAGTTAGTTGATCCGATCACTCTATAAWTTAACATAACTAAAATTAATAAATTAAAATCAGTTAACATATTGAGCTGGTTTACTTTGGTGATGGTGCAGCTGACCAAATTTTCAAAAAACCGTCAGCATCTGTGCTAGATATCAGTGAACCAGACATGTTAAACCAACATTGAGTAATTTTGGTCTTATGCTCATTAAAGGATTCCTGTCAATAATTTAAAACCATTTAATAACTACATATGAGATATAATTAAAAGTTTATTTTTTATTCCAACTTACCTGGCTAAGCAAAAGAAATGGGGGAACTTTGTGAGGTCTTTTGTCTAAATTGTCTAAACTGGCGTCACGGGGACCTCTACTTCGGGTCGAATCACGTTCTAAAGATATTGAACGCTTTGATACAGTTCTACGGCTACTTTCACTGTGTCATAAATAATTTAATTTTTATAAAAACTTTTGAAAAAATGTATTAATCACAAATTTCAAGATTTAATCAAATATAAGTAATTTGTTTAAAATTGATAATTATCCAAATTATTTTTCACACAAAATTACCCTCACCTAGTATTTCCMGGCTTGATCATTATGTAAGATGAAGGTGAAGTTGATAAGCTTGTACTCAGTTTTGAATTGGTTCCTACATGCTTTTTATAACCCATATCTGAAATCAATTTATTATTATTCAATAACATATTTACATATCCAGATTGTTAAATGAATGTTATAATTAAATCACCAGTAGTAGAAGTAGTAGAAATATTAGTAGGAATTGGTTGAGATATACGTTTCATGTTCACTTGTTTACCAAGTATTGGACTYGTAGGCAATCCACCGATAGTTCTAATAAGCGACCTCAATGATTTTATTGATGTATCAGTGTTAGTATTTTTAAATGTTTCTCTAGAAAAAAATATTTTAATATATATGTATAATATATAACTAGTCAAGATTATTATATTAATTGAATTACTGAGACACAGTGTAGAAATCATCAATTATATCTAGTGGTTGAGAATGAAATGATCCACTGACTGTGTTGTATTTTGGTTGAGTAACTCCATCAGTAAGTTTTTGTTTGAGGGTATCAATTTCATCTTGAAGTCTACGAATTTTGTTAGCATCATCTTCATAATTGCACAAACTAGGACGTGGAATAATCTAAGTAAATAAGAACATAACAATTAAATATAAACAAATGAATTACAAAATATAAATTAATATACATATTATATAACTAATTAATTTGGTAGGATGGAAATTTTTTTTTAGTAGAATTTAACAGTTGATCAATAAATTAAGAATATTCAAGTTTGATAGTACCTACTGCATTATATAATATAAAAATTATTTAAAAAGATTATAAATTGGAGCGTTTGTATTTTCTTATATAAATAGAAAATTGTATTTACCAAAGATTATTTACTTACTTGATATACAATGGAGAGAAAATTATGTAAAGAGATAAAAAATGAATCTTGCCACTGCTTGGTGAAGTAAATGGCAAACAATGGATTATCTTCAATATTTTTCAAGTATGGCAGCACTTAAAAATACAACATTAATTATTATTAAATCAATAATTATACAAAAAAAAAAAAAAAAATTATAATTTACTCACTAAACCAGTCTTTCCATTCATTTTGCAATTGTAGTTCGTTAGTCATTTTGATAAGGAACTCATTTACTTTGTCTGAACGATTATTAGTTAATGCATGTATAAGATAAAATTTGAGCAAACTATTTTCCAATTTTTTTATAGCTGAAAATAAACATATTCTYAAACTCAATTTTTTAACATGTGTATTTAAATAGTTAAACAATGTACAAACCATATGATATATCTTGATCAAGTTTGGAAAATAATTTACTTTCGAAATGTGACCATAGTTCTCTAATCGTAGACAAATCATAGGAATATACTAACTGCAATATTTGTTCAACTAATTTATCCACCTTAAAAAAAAACCAAAATCATTAAGATTTTTAATGTTTAGGATAGAAGGACACCTTTAAAATATTGTTAATGGAGTCATTGTACTTAATGCATTATTTTATCTGCAGCATAATTTCTATCGAGAAATATCAATTTGTTACTTACTCTAAATCCTTTATCTTTGTCAAGTTTCACATCAAAATCAAACCATTTTAATGCGTTAGTAAATCCTCGAAATAGGAAATATTCTCTGATCAACTCATCAATGTGTTGCATATGAGGCATTGTTATTGTTGTGTGGCTAGTAAAACTACCTAGTGGCTAGTACCTAGCAAATAATTAGTTTCGTTTCCATCATTCCTTAGACGGTAATAGTATGAATAGAAACTACAAGAGACAAAAAAAAAATACTTGCTTATTATTGATCTTTGATAAAAATTAAAATATATTTCTAAAATGAAGGTACCTGTAAGGCTGTAATGTTTTTGAATTTGTTTAATAATTAATATCTTTAAYGTTATCACCAGATATTGCAAAATATAACTAATTGATAACATTGTGCAAAGTGCGCACCTTTAAGGAGGTAAGGAGTCCTTTGGGTTTTGGGACGGGTTACCATCGTAACGCGCAATCCGGTGAACAGCTTTGGAATGAATCGTTTTCAAAAAAAATTGAGCAGCTGAATACGTATATTAATACTAATAATACWTCCTAGTTCCTACTCTCTGTTTTTTCTACGTAAATTATAAATATCGTATGAAGTCCAAAGATTTTTTTTTTATAATTTCATCCTTTTGTATTTAACAAAATAAAGATCTAAATTTAAATAAATAATGACTTTATTATAAATTTACTCAAAATGAAATAAAGAATTTTGCAAGTTGTGCAAGAGTACCTAATAGGGTAGGCAACAAACGCTACGATTAAATATTATTGACGTATTTTGTGTTTACAAAATATAATATGTTAATTAACTATTCATATTCGATATTCCCAATATTACAAACTATTAGAGTGAATGGTTGAAACGTGTTAAAACTAGACCGCGGGCTCGGGGCTATACCTATAAGTGCTATAAGCATGGCAAAATTATTTTGTCATAGCTATACCTAACTACCTAAGTATTTCTTAGCCCGCTACACGATAAAAATAAATCTTTAATCGTGGTAATCGTGGTAATTACTAATTGTGGTCCGACTGGTCCGCGAATTCCCCTAATAAATAACCCCGAAAAAATTTGAAAAAAAGTAAGTACCTACAATATAGTACCTACCTATGTAGTGTTAAGAAACAATAATAACTAAATGKCCAAATACTGATATACATATACATTATATTTATATACTATATATAGACATAATTACATAAGTACATAACGGATAAGAAAAGGTATACGGTAACCCTTTAAACTATAGGCGTTTCAGTGTTTGAATGTTTGATATTGTAATATTATGAAATCAATTTTTTTATTTCATTTTTATAATTTTTTTTTTTATATTATTGACATTTTATTAGATATGACTTAAATTACTAAACTTATATCTTTACATTTATACTAATTTATAATTATAATCTTTAAAGCATAGAAAAATTGGTATTTTTCATTTTGTATGTATATGTATTCATAATTTTTTATTAGGGGATATTTTTTCACGACACCGCTCCGTGAGTAAAACACCTACTAAAAAAATTGTTGAGATTTTAGAAAACTAATCTAATTTTAATTTTAAAATCGTATAAACCCTGATAT